GAAGGCGCGTAGGCGGCGCGGCTCCGAGAAAAAGCCTGGCCTCGCCAGGGGTTGGCGAGGAAAACGGAACGCGGTGACGCGAGGACGATAGACACACAAGGCCGGATTTAGACGCTTCGTCGAGTCCGGTCTCTCCTTCGAAAACGAAGTTAAAGACGAGCGAGGGATACGCAGCGCGATAGATGATACGAGTCATACGAGGCGATAATCTAAGTGCACGCGACCGGTCTCGCTTTATGTGCGCAGTACCTCGCGATAATCGCGATTGGAACTTTCGCGATAATATAGCGGCACCGCGATAGTCTTTCACGGACCGTCTCCGCGAGATCTTTCGCGAGTGAGTGACACGACCGAGCGAATCTTCACAACGGCGTTAATTAACATTTTCATCAAGCTAGTCGAATTACTTCTCTTTTCACGGAGTATTCGTGAGAGAATGGTTTATTCAAAAATTTATTACTCGGTCACGATTGCTTCCTCTAAAAATACGTGGATTTATTGGAACGAAGAGTGACATCACGCGTAAACCTGTATTTTCGGACGCACGTTCGGTCTTAGGAATAATAGATTTGAAATAAAACTGACTTATTGACAAATGCAGGCAAATACAGGGTGTTCCGATTAGAGTAGTAAAAAAAAAATTCGTAATATGCAAAGTACTAGTTCTTAACAAAAGAAAGTGGGTGTCAGTATAAAGAACAGCTTTCAAATTTATCAAACATGTAAAAAACTTTCTGTGTTTTTATATCCAGAAAAATATACGTGCCGCTAGTAAATTGTGACAGGAATTTATGGCAATTCCATTTATTAAACATATAAGCGAAACATTCTGTATATGCGGGATATTTGCAAAAATATGAGTCAAATGCCGTGAAAAGCTTTCGAAATGAACAGAAATAATTGCATCATTTTTTACCTAGAAAATTTTTTTGTCCGATAAAGAGACATTTTGAAAATGAGTCTCGATTAACGTTGAGTCGTCATATAAATATATTTGAGATTCGATATTATCATAAAATAACTTAATAAAAAGTAATTTTAATTAAATTTTCGTGCTCTGCAGTAAACTAGTTGTTCCATAGATTCGCGTATCTTCGAACTTTTCGCGACAAGTTTTAAATTTCAGGTCAACCCGGAATCGCGTATACACGCGGTTAAGATTCGTCACTAGATAATCAAAATTCAAATACATTCAAATTATACGAGAATTGCGTCATACGACTCTCGAAAGTCTACGCTCACGACCGGAATCGTGATCCTTCCGAGGATCCTTTTTTTTTTTCGTCGGAAAAAAATAAACCTCCCGAGCGTTTCCTTACCTGCGGACACAATCGTGCGTCGCAATTCCACCCCTGAGAAAGACGAAGGGACGAAGGTTAGAGGAGTCCGAGGCGAACTCGCAAGTCGCGCACGACGGATGCCAACGAGGAGGTGATTCCGGGAAGGGGAGATGGTAGCGGGAGCCTCCGTGTGTGTATGTGTGTGTGTATGTGTACGTGTGCACAAGCGCGAGCGACAGAGGGGGAGTTAAGCCACGAGGTGGGCGAGAGAGGGACGGAACGCGTCGTGTGTATCGGCGGGACGCGGTGCGACCGTGTGTAAGTGAGGGAGGCCGTACGCGGCGGGAATCGTCCCTCTCCGTAGTACTACGCGGGACGGCCACGCGAGCGGCAACGTTATACGTTTTCCCATCCCGTGCGCGCGCGGGAGCAACGACGCCGTTGACCGTTCCGTTCCGTTCGTTCGTTCGTTCGTTCACAGACAACGCGCGGCGCGCGAGCGTTGTCCCGTGAGAGAGGAATCGCCGTGAGAGGAAGCCGACCGGACGCGAAAGCGCGCATTCCGGCCATCGCGCGAACGACAACGGCCGCGCGCGCGCGTGCTTCGTCACGCTTCGCCTGCTCGTGTTTACATTTCGGCGTGCGCGCGCGTCGTGTTTGGCTGACTTACCCTGAGACATTCGAATTTGCGAGGGCGCAGGAAGGCGATCGCTGAAAAACGAAGGCGATTTCGACGCCGTTTGCTCTCGACGCGGGGAGGACCGATGGGTCATCCACTGTGATCCCGATCGTGGCGCGAAGTCAATGAAGTTCGCCGCCGACGCGGAGGCCCCTGAAGTTGCCGCTTGAAACGTAGGAGCTGCCACGGCGCGGCGCGGGCCGCGCGCCGCGCGTGGGTCCTCGGCAGTTTTCGGCAGCCGTCGTCGCAGCGCCGCGCCGCGTTACGCCGCGGTACGAAAAATCACAAGGGTTAGTTGACCCGGCGCTCGTGCCCGTTGCGTCACGTTTGGTTTTCATTCGCGATTCGCGACGGTGTTAAATCGCGTGGGAATATACGAATCACAGACGCGCGCGCGCGCGAGTGACTTGATCGATGCACGTGGGTCGTGCGAGCGACGTGAGAGTGATAAATATTCCCCAGATTTCCTCCGTGTTGTCCCCCGTCCGTGGCGGCGTAGCCTACGCCGTCGTCGAAAATCTACGCTCCGAAACTGCGCGCACGAGCGCGCGTGGTGGTGTCGCGCTGTGGAAACGTGTAGTTTGGTACGTGTGCGTATGTGTGTATCTGCAGGCGTGTGTGCATGAGAATACCGACGTGATGGCGAAAAGTGCGTGACGCTACGTGCTCGGGACCACGTGCGGCATTCTCACGTCGAAGGTTGAATGGCGGAACAGCCGGTGGGGTTACCAGCGCGTCGAAAGAGAGGTTAGAACGGTCGTTCTTCTCGAGTCTCGGATCGTCGGGGAACGCGATCGAATCGCCTCGGGAAGATTTCGAGACGCCGCGTGTCGCGTTCGTGCTTCGTGCGGCTGGCGACCCTGCGCGCGGTGACGCTACGGAACGTGAAGTTTGCCGCGTACGTTTGCTATCTTGCGCCATTTGAATTCGGAGTAACGACGCGGAAAGAGAGAGAGAGAGAGAGAGGAAGAAACGACGTGGACGAGAGGACGTCGCGATTCCCTCGCGAGATCCCCGCGATTTCGCTCGGGTAAAAATCGTAATCCCGCGATGCCTGTACGATCGGCGCGTCTCTCCGCGAGTTCCGGCTGCGTCGTAAACAAACAATGTCGGAGCCAATGACACCACCGGGTGTGCGGGGAGAGCCGTGTAGTCTTCTCTCTTCACCAACTGCGTAGTAACGCGTAGTAGAGCGTTACGATCCCCGAACCGACATTTCGTCAGCGTTGCGCAATCTTACGTGGGGCGGACCGTCGTCGACGAGAGAGCGCGTCGACGCGCGCCGCCGTCTTTGCCGCGAATCTGGATTTCCGCCGGACTTTCTCTATCGGTATCGGTAAAATCGAAATGTTCCGCCCTGGGTTTTGTTTCCCCGTAATTGGCTATCGATTAACTCCGACACGCGCCACTCCCGCGGAATTGAAATGTCGCGGACCGTTGAACCGTTGACATTAGAGATCGGGTTCGGAGTTTATTTTAACGCGACCTTTCCCCCTATTGTATGTACCTTTCGTTTCCTCCATGCAGCGGGGGAGA